CTCGGCTTGAGATGATAGTTTCAGGCAGTGGATCCATGAAACAGCTCGTGTTTCCAAGATTATAAACGCAACTGGTGAAGCGCAGCAACTGCTTTTTAGCGCATTTTCTCATTTATGGGAAAAAATTCAATATTGTGCTCGCCATGTCCGTCTGTCTGTCTGTCTGTCCGTCTGTCCGTCCGTCCGTGACCTCAAGTTTTCGTCGACGAGAAAATGCGCTCTCTGTCACTCACTGCAGTGAGTGCTGAGTTGTATTTTTTCCATATCATCGAAGACTGGCAACTCAAAGACTGAATCTAGCTGTGTTCTGATTTAATTAACACGTTGAGTGCGGTACGACCCACCGGTGGGTTGCAGTGTATTTGTTTCACTTATATCTTGCTGCACTGTCAGCAACACTGACACATAGCTGAAACATGCTCCTTACCTCAATAAAAGCTGCAATGGCTGCTGATTAGTTTAGCATGCTGACATTACGTCAACAAACCAATCAATTATTGCAACTATTTTCAGTCTGATAATAAGATGGGCCCTTACTAGACGCTTCTCACGAACATAGATTCAGGCAAATCAAAACCGGAAAGTAAGGTAATGATGAAACAGTTTCAGCCATCCTGAAACCAGAAACTGCATCCATCATAAAATTCTTTCAAAACCAGCTATAGATATTCCAGTAAAGAGTTGACTACAAAGAATTACCGCAGTTGGCTCTGATATTTATTGCTGAAGAGCAAACCGATGATCATATTAATTCTCCAAGTGCCCATCATAGAGTCCACATGATAGCAAGAGTAATATACAGTTTTACCTGTCTCGGTCCCAGTTACATCTCACATCTGAACTTGAGTTTTAAGAGTTTTAAAAGTTCAATGCGCTCACTGTGAAGCTGTTACCCAAAGCATGATACACCAGCATGTACGCCGCAGTTGCTCCACGAAATGACCTGCAGCTTCTGAATGATTTTGTTGCTTAAACTTTAGAACAGTTAATAACTCAATTGTCCGTTCAACTACGAAGACATCTATGCGGCATTCATGGTACTTGAGAAAAATTCTGAGATTCAGAAGTTACTGGCATAGAAAAGCGGCGAAATGCGCAATGTCAAAACTTGATGGAAACCATCCTGCTCCTCGAGTTGAATCTCTGAACGAAAGTTCTGTGACTCCCTTGACTCAGTCAGACTCTGTCTCTACAAACACAAGGTCTTTTGCGGCCATTTCAATTAAAACTGACTTCCTTCAGCAAGATCCAGACACCTGGAACATCATTGAACATCACTGCGGGATCACTAACCTAGAGAATTAAAATCAGTCCTTGCTTCAGGCTGACCCACAATATTTAGTTACCCACATTGTTTAGCGTTCTTAGAAATTGTTGCGGCAATTTGTTGTAAGCCTGGGTTGTTGAAACTCAACATTCATTGTACAACGGGTAAACTGCCTTGGATTTTCGCAATTTTTAGTACATGCACTCTGCCTATAAGGTCGAAAAAAATTGGATCATGAGACCGTAAATAATCCATATTATTTGCTTGCCTGGTGCCCTACTGTAAAATTTATTATAATAAAGATGCTGCAGCGCCCAAGCAAACAGAAAATTCAATTCACGATCTAAATCATTGAAATGTCAGCGAGCCGAAAATTTCCCGTTCAACAGTTGTTCATGACAGACAACCAGAAAATAACGATAAGCTCGACTGTATCTGAGTTTCTTGCTCTGATGTATCGAGATCGCCCCACTCAGAGGTCCCAAGTGCCCGATGTTAGCTGGACTTGATGAACTATGAATGCATAAGTCCTTTCATTCAGAAACTCTTATCATTTAGGCTATAATCAAGTGTGAAAACTTGAGGGATTGAAAACTGACGTAGAAGTAGATTTTGAGAAACAACAAGAGAAGGAAACGCCGACATGATATTTGATAGTTTTATTTGAATACTTATTAAGGCAAATAAGTGATAGGTGCTAGCAAGATCTAATTTTTAGGAGTTAAAATAACATTATGGTTATGCCATCAATATTTTTAAAGCATAATGAATACCTCATACTGCTTCACTTATTCCAAACTTAAAAGTAAAAGAGCGAAAATCCTTGCTCGCACCTAAGTGTCTCGCATGTTATTATGGCTAAGAATTGTCAATACAACTTTCGTAATACTAAAAACTTGCATTAGCGAAAAATATCAGTGAAAATTCTATAAAATATCAATCAAATTCTGTAACACTATATTAAGCAAATAGACTGACTTTCCGGATACATCACACGTACAGTTAATTTATTCGTAGCGAAAGAAATAGTGTCATATTAGCAATAGAAATAGTGTTAATAAAAATAGTGTTAATAGAAATAGCGTTAATAAAAGTAGTGTTAATATAAATATTGTCGGTAAGATGCCAGTCAATCAAAAGATTTGGGTCAGAAATACAATGATGGATCGATTGTGAGCTGGAATCCGCTGTACGATTGACCATTTCTTCATTTGCCAGTCAAAAGAATTTACAAGAAAAATTTCGACATAATTACTGATTTATAAAGGATTTCTTCAATCTCAAATAATTCACACACTCAACCATGCACATTCATCGTGCCATCGCATATGTGGCACAGGTTGCATCTTAACACACTGCTGTATATCTCATGATCAAGTAACTTTAATCTATACGGAATTTTGCATAACAATTATAATTCACGTCGTGGTTCATAAGCAAGCACAATTTTAGAAGAGTCTAAAATATGCGCCAACGTCTTTATAAAAATTGAGTAAATAATAGCACGTTTTCAATTTTAATTCATTATAACGTTATACGGAATATATTTTCGTTAAAGCTGAATAAATACTCGGCTGAGCAATAATCCTACCTAAACCCTTGTCGATCATAAGTAAAGGAAATGTTCACACGCTATCTACGTATGCAATTATGCAGATTGTTCAGGCGATGGAGGATTGAACAACATGCAAAACACCAGTACTAGTATTAACATGCAGGTTCCGGCTGAACATATTAACATATTGTATATTCTATAAGCAACATCGTTTATTTAATTAATTTCAGTATCCTTTGTTTCGGATATGGAAGTCAATATTCGATACTTTATTCATGTTTGAGTGCGATCATTATCAGAGACGAAAACAAAATGTATAAAATGCGACGTTTAATTAAATTTTGAATAATCAAACATTATTTTTTAAACTCTTATCGATTTCAAGCAGGGTCCACGAATGCAGTGCAGAAATATATTCCCCAGGATACGCTGATGATTTGTTTTGAATATTGAGTTAGGTTCATCAATATTTATCAACTAATAACNTGACATGCTAACTGTCCTGGTCGACAAGGCAGTATGTGACATGCCCACGAAGAGATTGTCGTGGCGTCTCGTTCAGATCGAACTTCGAGGGCACGTTACAAGTGGCTAAAAAGACACGAGAGGCGAAAAACAGATGACGTCTATGCTAAAACAGCGTGCACTCATCCACAGTGCAGTGTCCGATGTGCTCTCTGCATATATATAATATTTGTTGTTTGTGAGATGCATCCTGCACCGGCACTCGTGTGAGGTGAATAATGTTTTTTACGCTGCACTTTTTGCCAACACCTTTCAATAAATTATATTGAAACTAAGATCGAGACCAAGTGAGACAAAAAGCAAGCACATTAAGAATTATAGCCTCATAACGACTGTACAAGGTTTAATAGCATCAAATCTATTAATGACCTGCGTTAACGAGTCTAGTTGTGTACAAGAACAATTCAGAAAGCTGGATTTCACAGGCTATTTGTTTGTATGTACAAAAAATGGTATTAACTCGACTACTTTCTCACGTGTAAACATTGCATACGAGAATCGCATCAGCTTTACATAATCCTCTCATAAACAGTTAAGCAGATGCAATATTGCACTGTTAGAAAAATTACCGTTAACGGTATTATACCGGCGTTTCAGTGGCCGGTCAGCACGTGAAAAGAAACACCGTGTCGCCGTTTTTATTCTAATTTAACACTAGAAATCCGTAAAACATCTGATAAAAACGGTGAAACAGTTTATTTTCACGGGGCCACCGGCCACTAGAACGCCAGTGGGACCGTTTTTTCACCGTTTTTTCTAACAGTGTGTTTTTAATAACATATAAAATGACATTGAATTTTTAATCTTATCTGTTGCAAGCCGCATTAAAGTTCACGATAATTACAAAGCAGTTCATATACTTTCAAAAAAAATTAAGAGATCGTAAGTTCATCAGCCAATCATTGACGGCCTTTCAAGCAAAATCCACCAATCATAGACATAAAAATAGAGCGTAAGTACTTACGTTCACTTAGCGAGTTTTGAAAGTATAGGCCCTGTTCATTACCGCATGTCCACACCCAAGCTAACGAAGAAGAACTTTAAGTGTCAAAAACGCGGTGGGAGATGACGGTGGAAAAACAAATATCTTACTCAGTCATGGCCGTGAACGCTACTTATAGCTTATGGAGTATATATTTGTGCTTCGACAATACATGAAAACATACAAACATGAATGTTCTCTTCGTTCCGTAAAAAATGCAGGCGCATTACCCATACATATATTACAATATATATTGTGTCTCAAATTAAATCGTATCTGAAATAGGGCCAAAATACAATTTTTTCTCTACACGCAAGAAATAAACTGAAAAATTCAATGTTTTCAATATTTTTCATCCACACCACGATAGGTAAAAACTGATTCCTTTCAGACGTAGTGATAACCCTTACACAATCTATGAATGAAATTTGTGAATTTTTCGTCGGGTTGCAATACGTCACGCATTTAAGCTAACAAAAATTATTTGGATATGCCCATGGGTGTGTGGATATCTAAAAAGAAATCTAAACGACACAATGTGGGCAAAAAACCCAAAACAGGGCAGCAACGTTATAAATCTATTACGTTTTCGTGACCTCAGTTTCAGTGCTATATCGGTAAGGTAGGTTAGGCTAGCGCAGAATCTTAAATATATTAACGCGTTATACACCGCGGCAATAATACGGCCGGTTAAACGTCACTTTGACAACGACAAACAGGCATGTTGTGTGCATCAAGGGTCGTGCTCCCTATAATAGTAGCTCTTCTGGGTCATAACATAATGGTTGTTGGAGGAGGGAGGCTCGACGAAGGCCACAGGACTCGTGCGTCTAGAGAAGGTGTGCGAGAACAGCAGAAAGCACATCAGGATGGCAAGCGCCACCAGACTGATGCCCTGAGCGTTGATATACCACGCCTCGTCTACCAGCTGGGCATAGTCCGACCTGTGGTGTGGTGGTGTGGGGCAGTGTGGTGCAGTGTGGGGCAGGGTGGTGATGAAGGGCAGTGTTTTTAAGAGATGGAAGAAGTTTAATTCATATTTTAAGCTTCATGAAAAGAACGGCATCCTAGTTTTCTTATAGCGTAATAATGCAGAGATTAGGTCCAACCATTCCATAAGCATCTACATCGTTCGATCAGCACCTACAAAGTTAGGGCACAATCATGTATACTCGCTGCTCAGGTGTCTCAAGTTATCAACCAAGTGAATCAACTGCTAAATGATTATAATCCATTTACCGCATGAATTTGAAGTTATTCAGATAATTGACGGTAAAGACGTTCGTGAAATTCTTTAAAGCAATTTTTGACTGATAAATTAGGTGCCAGACGGGTCTGTTAAGTGCTGTTGAACGATTAGTTCCATCAAAGGTCGCTTCAAAAATTGTCATCTGGCTTTCACTTATGGTTTGAGACACATCGGAGTAATAGTAAATAACGAGTGGTTATAAATAAATCTGTTGCAAATCTAGGTTAAAGAATTCGCCTGCTCCAACCATATGATTATTGATCCAAATCGTATTTAACCTCCATTTTGCTTGCAAACCCTATGAAAAGATTAGATAATATAATCAATTATGATTACTACTTAATGATAGTTAAATACCGGCAGAAATTGTTGTTGCTGGTAGCCAGATTCACCGCACGAGAGGATGTCGAGTAGAGTCACCACGTATAAGGTGATTCTAATGGTAGTTCTTAGGCGCATGTTGAGTAGTGGTCAGTTCCTGCACAACGAGTTGAACAAATAGAGGTTAAGTTTCATGAATATTGGGTAATTTTTCGTTAATATGAGGCAATAAATACCACAAAATGTATAAATGATTGATTCACGAACATGTTATTTCAACGAAATTATTTGCCTAAGGTTTTTAAGTACTAAATAATCAAGAGATTACACAAATCGAACATTAAATCCCACGCTTTATTTTTGTGCCCAAAGTTAATTTGACGCCAAGCAGTGTCAAGTTCAACTGCCGTGGAAGTACCTATACATTACATTTAAATCATGCTACTGGCTCAAAATTTTTAATTAATTACCGAATTATTTTTATCTTAAAGAAAACATTGTGTAATATTTCACAACAAACTCAAATATTGAATAAAAATGATGTTTCTGACTGCATCGTCCGTACCTTGGTCTCGGGGTATCACGCCAGTGAAGTAGCAGACTGTGTGTCGTCAAAGCTTCCTCCATCACCTCCAGCGTGACTCTGAACTAAGGAGATTAGTTTTACCGCAGCTCACGCATGTTCCTCAAGAGTCAAGAGCCACAACTAACTCGTCGATATGAACTATCGGCGAGTAATACCGATGTTGATTAATACCCGATGTGTAATATCCGAGTAATAGCCAATGTGTAATATCCGATGTTGCGTTGATTGCCCAAACAACTCTATAGTTAAGTAAAAAATATATGCGCCCTCTGTCACTGCAGTGAGTGACAGAGGGCGCATTTTCTCGTCGACGAAAACTTGAGGTCACGGACGGACGGACAGACGGACGGACAGGCGGACGAACAGACAGACGGACATGGCGAGCACAATAGTGCATTTTTTCCATAAATGAGAAAATGCCTTAAAAATGTTTGTCCGAGGATGTCTGAGTACCGGGGTAGTAATTTGTTTCTCAATTCATCCACATACAATTGCAGTGTTAAAATCCCAACATTGTACCAAGTTAGTTTTCACAGCAACCTTCAGAATTCCATGTTTTTATTTCTTCTTATCATTTGCTCGCGATTTAAGACAAAAAACGCCTGTATTGGACTGTTCCCTCAAATTTTCTGTGGCCATAAAAATTTGCGAAAAGGCGGAATTTAACAAAATTTATTTAAATTTTGCCGATAAATCTACAAAATAATTAGATTATGTCGGCTGCCTGGCGTGCTGGCAACATAACTGGCAGCAAGTTAATAAGTAATACTCAACGGTACTCTAGAATCTAGATTGAATCAGTTCGCTTTTGTATTGAGGGGTCGGCTAAGATTGGACGATATCTACTGTTGATACTGCATGTATCAACACATACTATGTATGTGCTGGTGTGGAAATGTCTTCATTACATTGATGCCCCGCATGTTATTCATGTGTATAGCAACATTAGTTTCGGAGAGATCATAATTATTTATATCATTTATATTCTGCATGCAATTATTTGATTTCCAATGATATATTTGAGGGCAGAGCCCAATTAAGATTGCGTGGCACAATTTAAATTTTTTTTTTGGTGCACACGACTAAAATTGAAATATGTTTCAGTAATTTTTCGAGAATATCACACGAGAAGGTACAGTGCTGCACCGCCACTTCTCGTTCGGTTCAAAAAAGCAATCAACTCGCGCCTCAATCGGCGCAATTGAGTTCGAAATTAGAGACTGGAAAGTTCCAAATCAATGATGGTAAACTTAATTAGGACTCGAACCACTGCAAGTCGACCTCACTTCAGACGTCATTTTAGTAGTTCAAGAAAGCGATAGCTTTCAAAGCTGATCAAATAGACAAAATAATTTGAACTGTATTAGAACATGTCACAGCATATAAGATACGAAATTCTAAATATTGGTAAAGTTGCATCCAGAGTTTGATAAAGTCGCATACAGGGCTTGATTACATTTTAAAATTATCAGCTTGCTCATATGTCGGTTTGCGTCAAACATTAATGCGAGGATGAAAAATATTTGGTCTCTAACAACAGGAAATAGACGCACTGACTGAGAAGACTAATAAGCAAATTGAATAATGCATAGCAAAGTAGTGTCGGCGTTGACGGTTATGCCAATTCTGGCCTTTTGGCCAATTCGCGTTATTTTCTTGACTTTTTTACGGGAGGTTCAAATCCACTCGAGTTCAAATTGGGTTACTGCCAAAATTAACGGGCAATTACTTTATACTAGGAGGCCACTTTCACGTTGCTGCAGAGGACGTTTTCATGAATTAAAGAGCACGTTAACTCAAAACATAGCTGGTTATTCCGTATTGCTAGTTAAATCGTACAGCAGGTTAGCCAATCACGGTAGGTCAAACTCGAAACGCACAGTAAATTAATATTCATAAGTTGATATATAAGTGTACCTACAAAAATCCAAATTTTTAGGCTCACTTAATTATGTAAAATTCGTTTAACGAAGAAGAAAAAAGATTTGAATGACTATAATGCCGTACATCGAGACTTCTCAGTCTCGGTTCATAAACTCTGAGACAAACTTTAATTGTAACAACTTTTATGGTGCCAAGTCAATAGCAACTTCGAGCGCTAATACTAACTCGGCGGACTTTTGTTAAAATTTACAATGTCCACACCAACGTATGCTATGAACGAACAACGAATGAGAAAAAATGAAGGCTAACCTCAAAAGCTGCTTTCACATTTTCACAGTTTACTACGTAAGTGAATATGCATAATGTTCACTGATTTTTTTCATTAATTAGGTGATCTTAAAGAATCATTAAAATAATTCTTTGAATCTATACAAGTTCATTATTCAAAGCTTCAACAACAAAGCATTTTATTTTCAATTATAATGTTTGGTGTCGTTGTTCTGCAAATAGAAGTAGAATTAAATCGGAATTGTTCATTAGAAAATACTCTTAATATTCAATGAAAATTTTATGATAACAGAAATTTGACAATATACTCGCCCAACAAACTAAAGTCACAGACGATAAAATTTGTCGTCTGTAACTTTACTCTGTTGCACGATTTAGTTGTTTGAGTTGGACGAATTCATTTTAATGCACGTAGCGCTATGGAATCGAAACTCCAATTATTCTTCAGTTCATTGAACAATAAACGCTCACCAACTTGCCACTTGCTTGTTTAATATTAGAGGAATTATTGATATTAATCAAAGACCCTGGATGAGAAATGTCAGACTCTACCAAGCCGAGGTCACTTTATTCGACACGTGTCATTTGTGTTAGATGGGAAAGTTGAAATAGATTTGAGTTGATTTTAATTACGTGGACAGACAACATTTTCTCACATCTAGTCTTGTGTCGTACTGCTCGACCACCCATCCCATTACACCATTGAGGCCAAGATTTGCCGTGAAAATAACGGTTGTTCCATATTCAGCATTCACCACACGCACGCTGCTCTTCCTTTATAGGCAATTAGCTCGTATTACAACTCAATTTTTTTTAATTGGCTTGATAGCCTCTAGCATAGATAGATCGGAGCCTTTTCATGGTTCTGAAGTAACTGCTGATTTACCTGATGAATTTAAAAACCCTTGATAGATAATCGTACTTCAAATGATAAACGAAAATACGACTCGACATCGTAATTGTATTAAGTTACTTTAGCCAGGCTAAATTTTTTTATAGTTTTTTCGAAGCATCCTAACTAGGTCTAAACCGAAGTATCGAAATATCTTTGCTATGGCGTCAGTGCAGGCAGTTTCATCAGACATAAGTGATTGACGTTTGTAAATTACGATTTGATATTCATTGCAACTTTTGTCGTTACAGCCGATCAAAAGAAGTCAAGTGGAGTTTTAGCTACGACTCAACATGCAAGTGCGCACGTGGAAAAATAACTATTTTGTATTACATCAGTTTTTCAGACATAATTATCGTGTACGAATTTGCTATGATGAGTAAGGAAATAATTTAAATTCGTCAAAAATATTTGATATCTATTCACTGAATTTCGAGCAACAAATTATATCAAAATACACTTAATTGAGACCCAGGAAAGGAAGCAGTGTTCGCATGATATATCATATATTTACTTGAATAATGACGCGTGACAACTGAGGTCGTAAGAGCGAGTCAGATCTATAGTATTTATACCGTTATTCAGAGCAATGCATAATATAAGTTTTCGATTGAAATGCAAGCCTTAATTTAAAAAGGTAATGATATAATTAATTGAGCAATTATTTCTTATTATGCATGACTTCAAAAGCATACTTACTCAATCAACATCAATATTTCTTCCA